AGCAGAGAACAGACAAGTCTCCATTTGTCTATTTGCCTGGTAATCTGCTTTGGTGGCTATCCTGGTTTTGTTGAAAAGTTTGTAAGACGTTCTTTCCCTTCTTATATTGAGCATTCATTCATGTGTTCATTCATTCATCGGCTGCACAAACATGGACCAGACGTCCATGCTGGGACCTGAGCTACATGCCGGGGAAGCAGAATGGATGAGAGGCTGCTGCTCCCTCTGGGAGCTTGGGTCCACTGGGAAGACACACACGGAATTCACAAGGGCAGTGTGTGTGGCATGGCCAAGTCCTCCAAACCAAAGTGTTATGAGTCACCAGGACACCATGATCCCATCCGAGCATTGTGCACACAGGAAAAATGAGACCCAGAGAGAAGCTTGTTCCTTCACTCCCTCATTCAACAAATAATTTGGGATCCAGGACATGAGGGACTACCTGGAAGAGGCTTCCCAGCCTCCATCAGAGGTGGCCTATGCAGGGTGAATGGGGAGTCTAGAGGAGGCATAGAAGGCAAGGAGTTCCTGGTAGGAGGGCTTCCCGGAGGAGGCAGTTCCTGAGCTGAGACTAGAACATGGATTGGTTAAGAGAATGAAGAAAGGAGTTTCAACAGAGGGAAGAGTATGTTCAAGGTCATGGAGGCGGGGCGAGCCAACACCACTCCAGGCAGCTGCCTACCCCTGCCACTTTTGGGGCTTGAGGGCGTGTGGATGCGTGTGTCGTGATGAGACACCCTTGGCAGGCTCACCAAGCTGGCCGGGGGTGGGGGGGGTGGCGGTGGTGGGACTCCTGCCCTACCTACCCACAGCCCCACACTCACCTGGAATCGAGTGCTTTCCAAGGTGCTGGGGAGACTCAGTGTGTCTGCCTGACCCTGGACACAGAAGTCTGTCCCTTCGGGAGGACGGTGACAGGTTGGGCCTCCGGGGTTAACCCAGAGGGTACTGACGCTGCCCTCGGCCCAATGTTCACTCTCAGCACAACCAGTTGTGAGAAAAACAACCCACCCCTCAGTTCAGGTTGTGTGGAGATTCATGCAGAGAGAAGAAGGAGTGATGCAACAGGGGTGATGCCCTGCCCTCGGGGCTGGTGTCCTGGGGCTGAGGCGCGACCCCACCACCGCACACTCTCCTGAGTGCCCATTTCCTCCTTCACCCTCCTCACCACTCAAGATGAGGTCCTGAAGACCACATTGAGAGACACAGGACACAGTCTCTAAAACGGGTAAAGGGCTGACCTGATTGGAACAACTCTCCACCCCCTCCGGCTTCATTCCTCCCCCTGAGGACACCTGCTTCCTGCCGGGCGCTGTGCCCGGGAGCGTGGATGCCTGAGCCATAGCTCTCGCGTGCAGGGAGCTTGCGTTATGAAACTTCAAGATGCTCTATTCCTTAGACACTTGGGCTATAGTGTTTTTTAAATGGTAATGACCACTTCTTCTGGAAAGCCAATAGAACTTTCTGCTTTCGTGCGGCGAAAACAGAAAAGTTAATGTGTACTCAGCAGAAAACGTCTTTGCAACACTTTTGCCATTCCGATGCCTTGTCCTTCCTGAGCTGGCTTGGTGGCAGGGATGGTACAAAGGTGGCCTGCGTACTGAGTGTGGAGACAGGGTTTATGTGGGCATGAGATTCCTTGTATCCATCCATCTATCCATCCATCCATCCAACCATCCCTCCACTACGGAGTACCCCGGCATGCAGAGGATGCATTGAATACTGGGGAATAAGACAGGGTCCTGTCTTCATGGATTTTTTTGTTTCAAATCTTTGTTATAGAAGAATTCAAGTAAATATAAAAAACAGAGAGAATGTCATAATGAACCTCACCTACCTCCAACAGCTTCGATTATTATTAATGTGAGGCCAGTACCCTTTTTTCTACTCCTTCCAGTCCCTTTTCCCCCTCAGGTTTTTTTGAGCAAATCCTACAGATCATTTCTTTTTACCTGTAAGAATTAAAAAAAAATTATAGCAATAGCCATGCATCACACCTTTAAAAAACCATAATTCCTTAGTATCAAGTCATTGTTTCCCTCACTGGTTCCTCGATGTTTCTTTTTATAGTTAGTTGGTTGGAACTGGGATCTCATGTGTCCCTGAGTTCATGTCTGCAAGCCTCCCTTTCTGTCTAGTGAGGTGAAATGCACATAACGTGAAATCAACCATCGTAAAGTGTACAATTCAGCAGTGTTGTGTACATGCACGCTGTTGTGTAACCGTCACTTCCCTCTTGGTTCAGATGGTGTCAGGCACCACCAACAGAGACCCCATCCCCGTTCTCCCCCCTCCCCGGCACCTGCCAGCCACTGATGTGCCCTCTGTGTCTCTGGACCTGCCTAAGCTAGGCGTTTTCTGTAAATGGAATGATGCAGTCTGTGACCTTTCGTGTCTGGCTTCTTTCACTGAGCACCGCGTGTTCATGGTTCACCCATGCTGTGGGCTGGGTCAGCACCCCATTCCTCTCTAGGGCTGAGTCCTATTCCCATGTGTGAAGGTACCACACCAGCCTCTGCTCGTTCCTTCGTGGGTGATGGTCAGGCATCTCTGGTCTCTATCACCTTCCTCACGAAGCTTTGTTTAATGTGACCCATCTTACCAAATGATGTCTTCTGGTTTCCCAACCTCCCGTATGGCAGTCTGAGTGTCACCTCTTTTCGCTCAGTCCAATCAGTGACATTTCCTAAGTATGTCTCAAAATGTCCCTTTTTCTCTATCTTCACGCCTCCATCCTCTGCTCAGTGTCCTATCACCTTCCACTTTAATTCCACCTACCGCCTCCTAGCCATGGAGGGGCCAGAGCAGGGTGGAATTTGGCGAAGAATTTGCTGCAAGGAAGTGAGTGTATTATAACCAGGAGACCTCAGTGCTGATCATGTTTCTGGCTCCCGTGTTTTCAGAGAGCTTCACACACAGATCATGGAGGTTCAGGAAGCACAGTGCAGGGCACCCCCCTTCCCTACCACACCAGATCACTCAGCCCTTAGGACCTCAGCAGGGCTTAGGGCCCTGAGATCCAGACTTTTGTGCTCTCTGCACCTTAGCTGGGCACCTCCCCTCTCTGCTGGGAATCCAGAGTTTTCTTAAGATTGCAGTCCTCCCCCCACCCCAGAGGTCACCAGGGGACTCCGTGGATCACGCAGATCTGGGTTTCATAAACTCACTGAGCAAGGGGGAGCTTCACCCAGTCAGCATCTCAGTCTGCCTCAATGGGGGAAGTTAGGGGAAGTATGTACGGGGTTTCCTGGGCTGCAATGAGTTCACGGTGGCTTTAGGGTGATAGAAAGCACGGTCGGAACTGACAAAAGGGCCAGGAGTGAGTGGTTTTAGCTTTAGAACCCGTGAGTCCAGGAAGAGTTACTTTTTTCTTTTTAAGATTTATTTATTATTGGAGAGAGAGAGGGAGAGCAGGGGGAGGGCTGAGGGAGAGAAGTCTTAGCACACTCCCTGCTGAGGATTAACTCCTTTTATTTTCTACCTTCAATCGCTCTTGCTGACTTTTACTATGTAAACACACTCAAGTCTCTCATTATTTAAAAAAATGGAAAGAAAATCCTTCCTTTAGTCTAAACGACTCTCAAGCTCCTGTCTTTCCTGCCTTCCGATGCCAAACAGCTATGGAGTGGTGTTGACAGTCGTAGACTCCCTGAGCCGTCTGCCCTTCTGCCCAACCCACCCCCAACTCCCGGTTCCTGCTCTCACCCTCCCCCGGGGATCCTTCCTGCCAAGGTCACCAAGGAACCAGCGTTGGACTCTCCCAGAGGACGTTCTTCGTCCTTCTCCAGAAGGGTCCAGCCCCATTCCACACCATCTTCTTCCCGGGGACTCTTCATGAGACCACCTTTCTCCTCCTGTGTCTTCTCCTGCTCTGTTCCAGTCTCCTTGCAGTCTGCTTGTCTCCTTACGTGTTGATGTTTGGGTAAGGGTGGCCCTAGGCCCTCGGCACCATGCACACAGAGATACCTGTCTCCTCTCATGGTCTCGCTGAACCACCAACTCACGATGACCATGACATCCATCTCTCTGACCCAGATTTTCTCACTGAGCTACAGATCACCACAGACAACTCAGACCCCACATGAGCACATCAGAGCTGTTCATCTTCCTGCAGAAAATTGTTCTTTTTGTAATCCAGAACTCACAGCACAGAACAGTGCATCAGTTCTAGTCTCCTGAACCCCCAGCCCCACAACCCGGACATCATCCGTGACTCGTTCCTGTCCTCTGCACAATCAACCACCAAGTCCTGCCGCTTGTACCTGTCGGCATCTCCCATAAGTGCCCCTTTCTCTGCACACCTGCCCAGTTCCCTGGCTTGGGCGAGAACGCCTGGCCGTTCCTCCGCCCCTCATCTCCCCCAGCCCACCCCCCGCCCCCACCATCACCCAGTTCCTGGTAACACCAGCAGAGGGATGACTGCGTGGCTTTAACAGCAGCTCTCCACAGATCGCTCATTTTCTCCCACCCTCCATGCCAGCTGCTGAGGGGTTCGTCTATTGGGGAGCAGTCGGAACTCAGAGGCACGTGACAAGCTCTGGCCAGGAACTTACAAAGTAGCTACTCTCCTCAGATTGGGGGTGTCGGGGGGTGGGTAAAAAGGAGGGATCCTGGAAGAGAGAAGGTCTAGGACTGAGGGGTCTAGGGGCTCTGCCAGATGGGGTCAGGGTCGGGGGTCAGCACGTGGCCACATCCTGGGCCCAGGGGAGGGAAAGAGTGAGACTGGAACTGGGGACAAGGGAGCCCACAGAAGAAGGAACCGGATAACACCACTCTCCCCTCCCCTCCCAGGCCTGAGGTCTAGGTGGGCTTGGCCACAGGCACAAAGCCTGCTTCCAACCAGGCTTCTGCAGCTGAAGGCAGAGGGGCCCCGAGCCTGGGTGAGACTGAGTCCAGTGGGAGGTCCTGGGGCTTAGGCTCCAGGCACAGGCAGCTACAGGAGCCTGGAGTCAGGCAGATCAGTGTAGAAAGACACAAAGAAAGTGTCTGGTCTGAGAGAGTTTATTGCCATCTGGAGGTTCAGAGCCTCCGATCAAAAAGTCCCCAGGCTCCCAGGGCACATGGAAGCCACCAGAATCATTGTCACCTTCTAAGGGATGAGCAAGGATGGGCCTGGCCTATGGCTCTTTGGTGCATGGCGGCCCAGGCTGCATCAGAGGCCTGGCACCTGAGAAGGACGGGCAGCCCTAGGCTTGGTTGGGGTTGGTGACTTTGCCCCAGAAGAGGATGTTCTTGGTATCTCTGTGAAGTATGGACAGCAGAAAGGGTCTATTGAAATGCACAGTCATCAGTGGACCAATTTTTCTGGACAAAAAAATAACTTTACTTCCTGTGGCGGCCGCAGCCTCCGTGCCCTCCTCGGCGACATCGAGCAGGGCCTTGTGGACCACCTGTGGGAACACGAGAGCATAATGCACTGTAGGTCTGGTGGGTGAGGGGTGAGGGGCCCGCCTGAGAGCCCGGAGGGGCAGACATTCATGCAGACTTGACCCTGGCCCATCACGGATTGGCGGGGTGGCAGGGGGATTTCCTCCTGACAGCCCGGTCCCTGGTTCTGAGTGGTTCTGATGCACAAACTGAGGCTCCCAGGCTGTGAGGGGTCGGCCCAGGATCGTGAAGATAAAGGGGAGGGGCCCCCTGATCTGGATGCCTCTCTGTCTGAATGCAGAGACTGTACTGCCCCCAAACACTCACTATTGGGAAGGGAACAATTGAAAGTGACTTTCTAGCAGCCTCTCCACCTGAAGCAGCTGCTGCGGATGTCCCTGGGGACCCACGGGCCTCCCTGCTCTTAGCCCTGTCTGCAATGACCTTGGCACCCTAGGCTACTTTGTGTGGATGTGGCTTCACATCCCTGAACCCCATAGGCTCCTTTACACACCTCCCTCCATGACCATGTCTTTTGGAAGGTGGGGTGCAGAGGAGGGCAAAGTGTGGCTCAGACACCCTGCCTCATTCGGAGGACCTTGTTTCTCGGAGCACAGTGCAAGGGGCCCTCTGTCTTTCTTTCACACCCCTCACACCTGCCATTCACACCCCCATTTTACAGGAAAACTGAGGCATCCAGCACTTTAGGTATTGGCTGCTGTCGGCAGTAAATGGGGGAGTGTGGATGGAATGGGGTCCATCCCCAGTTCACACCAGGCTCTTCCCCATGAATGGCTTCTGGGTCACAGTATATTACAGGGGAGGTAGGGACCAGCTTCTAACATGCTTGCCACCCAGCTCTCCTGAGCTTGGGGCAGATCCACGAGGGGGACGGGGTAATGAGAGATGCTGTTATTCACGCAAATTCAAGGTCATCCTGTTGTCCGCCCTGCCTTTACCATCAAGCTCAGATATGGAGGACAAATGATCTAACGTTTTAACACTCACCTGGGAAACTGCCAGGTTCTTCTCCCCTGTGACTCCTGACAAGTCGGCCTGGTGGGTGAAGACTTCCCTCACACCCAGCTGGGGAAGTATCCCTTCCAGATTATAGCTGCTGGAGATGGAAAACTTCGGCAGGTAGAGGTTGTCTATCTTCCTAGGAAGGGAGAAACAAGAATTTGAACACCTGCTTGCCTCAAGGCTCGCCTTCTCCCACCTCGCGGCATGGTCTTCCCTGGTTTCCTTTCTGACCACCCCCTTCTTGCTGGAAAGAAGTGCTCATTTCCTCAGTTTCTTGATCTCTCGTGCTGAAGGGACTGTGTTCGAAGGGCCTGGAGGGATCCTGAAACAAGCAAAGGAAGGTCCCCATCTTGGCTGTCTGGTGAGCTCCGTGAGAGCAGCAAGACTTCTGCTTCGGGGCAGAGCTGCTGGTGAGTTCTCAGAGCAAGAGCAGATACCTTCCATCTACAAGCCTCCCTCTCTCTCTCTCTCTCTCTCTCTCTCTCTCTGTTTGTATCTCTAAGACTTCTGTCATGGTCTGCCTGGTTTGGCACGAACCAGATCCGAGGAGGCTGTGACTCCCAGCAAACCCTGAGTCCCACGAGCAGGGAAGGTGTCAGTTTCTCTCCATATTCATTCATTCATTCATCCCCCTTCCATTCACTCAACACACATTCACTGAGCACCCACAAAGGGCTAGAACTGTGTTAAGTCAGGTGTCCTCAATGCTTTGTGAATCAGAGGTGTGTGAAAAATGTTCTAACCATTCACAACGAATCATCAGCCCTGGCCAGGTGGGAGCTAGAAACCGCCTCCCCGTGGCCCCACCCTCAAGGACCAGGCCCAGAATTCACTCTGCTTTGTGGGTCCTCCTTGACTTCAGTCATCCCAATTCCATATCCTAGCCTGTCTCTAACCTCAGGTTCATCTGAAACTTGACCACCTCTGACATGTCTCACGACGTGGATTGCTGCCCTGGGCTCCTAGCTGGTTGTCCTGCCTCCCTCCTTGTCCTCGTGGTCTATTCTCCACTCAGCCTCCTGGATGATCTTTTTTAAAACAGTACTCAGAACATACACTCTTTGGCCCAAGACCTTGGGATGACTCCCCATTTCACTTAGAGGAGGAAGAGGCAAGGTTCCCAGGGGTCTGCAGGGCGCTCCTGAACCCGAGCCGTCCCGCTGGGCCCCCTCACTTCTCCTGACTCTTGTGCTGCTCCAGCCTCTCTCACCTCACTAACCCTCAAACACACCAGACTTTGCACAGAGGCTTTGCATTGACTGTTCCCTCTGCCAAGAATGCTTTTCCCCAACCTACCCACAGGGCTCAGGTCCTCACCCCTTTCATGTCAATGCTCAAATATCACCTAATGGTGATCCTATTTAAAACCACGAACTACCTCCTGGTTGGTCCAGTTTTCCTTCTCATTTTACCCCACTCTATCACCCACCCACACACCCTCATTTCTTAATGTCCAACATACTAAATAACTGACCTATTTGTTATATCCCTCTATTTTCTCATTTTCCAGTGACAACGTAAGCTCCATGAGGGCAGGAGATTTTTGGTGTAATTGCGGACATGTCATCCGGGTCTACACCAGTGCCTGGCACCTACGAGGAGCTCCGTTAACCTACGTGACCTGAGCCAAATGGATGAACAGATTAATAAACGAATGTTAACGGCCAGCGCAGAGCTGGTGCTCAGAGCCCGTCTGGCTTTGGCCTTCAGCTGATCTCGGAACCATCTGTCCCCTCTGCCTTCAAGAGACTGAGACAAGGAGAGGGCAGGCATGAGGACTGGGTTGAGTTGAGGAGTCCCCAGGACCTGAACATGTCAACGTCAGAGGCAGCATCACCCCTGTCCCATTCAAGGTCATCATGTCTCATAGAACAAACATTTTCAGGCTCAAAGCCACACGGACAGCCAGGGCAGGGTGACCCCAAGCTCCACCTGTGTTGGGATGGCTTTCCCAGGGAGGAAGGAGGAGGCCCTGGGTGCTGGAGAGTCTGGGAGCGCCTGAGAAGGGAGGAAGGAGGGAAGGCCTCATCCCCAGGTCATCACCTCATCTGCAATGAGTCTGTCCACCTCCTCAGTGTCTCCGGGAGCAGGCTGGCCTCCACCGCCCCCATGCTGCCCTGGTCCGGGAGGATGAAGAGTGCACTGTCATTACTGGTGTACGGGAGCTCCACCATCGTGCAGCCCAGCGCCTCGTCTCGGAAGTAAGGTGCCCACACGTCCTCCAGGTTCATCATGGGCACCTTTACCGACCTGTGCTTGCTCACGTAGAACTTGGACTTGAAAGTGTCTCGGGGGTCAAAGGGTGTCTTCCATTTGGCTGAAGGTCAGAGAACTCCGTGAACACAAGGGCTGCCCTGCTCCGACCCCTCCTCCACCCGGGTTCTCTGGTTGATGGATACACTCCGAGTGCCATCGGCCCTGCCACCGGCCCCACCTTGGTCTGCTGGCAAGTGGGTAGGCCACTGGGGACGGGGTGATAAGCCACACAGGTCTGGTTGGAACATGACAGTGAGACAAAGACCTGGTTAATTGTGGTAAGTGAGAGACTAACAGGAGTTTGGGAATAGTGGGTGTAAAAGAGAGGTGGGGGAGAGGCAGGAGAGGGGAGAGATGGGAGAGGGGACCCCGAGCACTGTGAGGGGCGGCAGCAGGGGGAGCACGGGGAGGAACAGGGAATCCCTGACCCTCTAAAAGGGACAATACTAGTAACTCACTGGTAGTCATCGGCGTTACAATGTACAAACATGCCCACAGCCTGGTCAAACACGCCGAAACAAGGGGCAAATGGGGAATCTGAGGGTGGGACAGAGCTTGACTGAGGGGGGAGGGCATAGGGCATCCCCAGGAAGACTGGAGCCTTCAGTGAGGGGGGTGGGGAGAGCTCCTGGGGAGACTAGAGACCGGGGGCTTGCTGGGGAATGTGCACACCCCCTCACCCCCCACCCACACCCCACTGTTGGAGGCAGGAGAGGAGGGGAAAGCCAGGCCAGCTGGTGTGTCCCTAGGGCAGGCAGGGTGTTAGGAGGGACAAATCAGGAGACACAAAGAACAAGCAGCACATCGGGCCTGGATTAGCTTTATAGGGAAATCTTGTTTCTGGCCTTCATCTGCAGCCAGAAACACAGGCCCTGGGGGGATCTTCTCCAGGACTCAGCCAGAACCCCCAGTGCAGGCTTTCCGTGTCTCCACCCAGACTCCATGACGCTTCTATGGTTCTCTGTCTATTTTTGGTGCCCATGGGGACTGAGGCTCCACAGGGCCAACTCTGTCTGTGCATGCCCCGCCTCTTCAGAACTCATGGGCTGGGGAGGCTTGTGTTTGTCAAGTTCTGACCCGTGGGACCAGGCGCTGGACCAACTGGAACTTGAGAATGGGCCCTGTCCGGGATCCTGCCCTCCCCCAAGGTCCTTCTCCAGATGGTGACCCAGCTGACGCCACCCCCAAGATGATGGGGGGCACTGTTGCAGAAACCTGGGATGGCCAGGTTCCTTAAATGCTGTCTTCCCATGTAGACGGCACCTCCCTCCCCACCCCACCTGCCCCAGGCTGAGTCCCTGGCTAGGACAGAGCCCAGGTCAGAATGGCCCAGCAATGCCCAGACAGAGGGCTTCCTGAGCCTACGCACAGGCCCCTCTTCAGGGAGGAAGCTGAAGTTCATGCCCAGCCTAGAGGGATGTAAGGGGCCACTCCTTCCTCCTGGGAGCCAGGCATGTTTGAGTCAGAGTAACAAGCGCCAGTCTCCCTCAGACAAAGTGTTGCTGGGCCCCTCTGCAGGGACTTCCTACAGTGGCAGAACATCATTTGGAAAACCCTAAGACTAAGAGGGAACCCATGGAATGGGAGAAGATATTTGCAAATGACAGGACAGATAAAGGGCTGATATCGAAGATCTATAAAGAATGTCTCAAACTCAGCACCCAAAAACCAAATAACCCAGTCAAAAAATGGGCAGACGAATGAACAGACACTTCTCCAAATAAGACATACAGATGGCCAACAGACACATGAAAAAATGTTCCACATCATTAGCCATCAGGGACATTCAAATCAAAACCACATGGTGGGTACCTGGGTGGCTCAGTGGGTTAAGCCTCTGCTTTCAGCTCAGGTCATGATCCCAGGGTCCTGGAATCAAGTCCCGCATCAGGCTCTCTGCTCGCAGGGAGCCTGCTTCCCCCCCACCCCACTCTGTCTGTCTCTCTACCTGTTGGTGATCTCTCTTGCTGTCAAATAAATAAATAAATAAATAAATAAATAAAATCTTTAAAAAGAAAAAAAAACACATGGAGAGACCCCTTACACCAATTAGAATGGCAAAGATTAACAAGACAAGAAACAACAAGTGTTGGCAAGGATGTGGAGAAAGGGGAAACCTCTTACACTGTTGGGAATGCAAGTTGGTGCAGCCAATTTGGAGAACAGTGTAGAGATTCCTTAAGAAATTAAAAATAGAGCTACCCCACGACCCTGCAATTGCACTACTGGGTATTAACACCAAAGATACAGATGTAGTGAAAAGAAGGGACACGTGCACCTCAATGTTTATAGCAGCAATGGCCACGATAGCCAAACTATGGAAGGAGCTGAGATGCCCTTCAACAGATGAATGGATAAAGAAGATGTGGTCCCTATATACAATGGAGTATCACTCAGCCATTAGAAAGGATGAAGACCCACCATTTGTATCAACATGGATGGAACTTGAGGAGATTATGCTGAGTGAAATAAGTGAAGCAGAGAAAGACAACTGTCATATGGTTTCAGTCATATGTAGAACATAAGGAATAGCAAGGAGGACATTAGGGGAAGGAAGGGGAAACTGAAAGGAGGGATATCAGAGGGGGAGATGAACCATGAGAGACTATGGACTCTGGAAAACAATCTGAGGGTTTCAGAGCGGGGGTGATGGGGAATGGGGTAGTCTGGTGATGGGTATCAATGAGGGCACGTGTTCTAATGAGTGCTGGGTGTTATATGCAACTAATGAATCACTGAACACTGCATCAAAAACTAATGATGTACTGGGGCGCCTGGGTGGCTCAGTGGGTTAAGCCTCTGCCTTCGGCTCAGGTCATGGTCTCAAGTTCCTGGGATCAAGCCCCACATCTGGCTCTCTGCTCAGCAGGGAGCCTGCTTCCTCCTCTCTCTCTGCCTGTCTCTCTGCCTCCTTGTGATCTCTGTCTGTCAAATAAATAAAATTAAATTAAAAAAAAACTAATGATGTACTATACGGTGGCTAACTGAACATAATAAAAAAATATAAATAAAATAAAATAAATTTTAAAAATCCTAAGAGAAAACAATGCCTACAGGCAGGGCGAGGCCTCAGGGACCTGCCTCCTCCCCTCCCCCACCCCAGACCAGAGGCACCTGCTCCATGGTGGTTTCCCCAATAACACAGTTGACTGCACCAGGCCAGAATATGGCCCCAAAGTCTCAGAACTAAAACTCTGCTTCCAAACCCTAAGCCAGGCACTCACCTTTAAGGAAGATGTAATTCACCAGGACCATGGCTGTGTTCAGGTCAAGGTCCTTGACCAGATCCACAATTCTCCCCTGGGTCTGATTCCTCACGTAGTCATTGATGAGCTTCTTGGCGGAGGCAGAGTCCTGGAAGTTGGTGGAGAAGGCCTCAGAGGCGTAGAGCGCCCTGGCATCTTCCATGAACTTCTCCAGCAGCTTGAGCGACTCACTGATGAACATGGCGTTGCCCACGCTCAGCTGCAGCTCGTTGTTGGGTTGGTGGAGGGTTCGCAGCAGGTGCTGGAAACCCCGGTGGATTTCGGTGTCAGGGGTCTCTGTGAGGTTGAACTTGAGGCCTTCGAGGATCTCCGTCAGGGTGGTGTTTTGGGCCCCCAGGGATAGGAAGGCCAAGGCGATAGAGACGCTTAGTGGGGAGAAGATGACATTCTTGTTGGGGGTCCTCGAAGCCAGTTGCTTATAGAGGCTGAGGGCGAAGTCAGTGTTGCTGGAGGCTAATCGGAGGCTGTCCACAGGAGTTTCATTGTGTAGGTCCTCCTGGGTCACATTTGGAGGGTCAAGCACGCCCCCCGGGGCGCAGTGGACAGGGGGGCAGAGCCCAGCCACCAGGAACCCCAGAGCCAAGAGGAGCCACATCCCCTCTGTCCTCAATTCTGAAAAACAAAGCTCCTTTAAGTGTTGGGGGGCCAGATGGTGCCCCAACTGCCTCCCATTGCTCCCTCCGCCCCCACCGTGTGGCCTGTGTTCCAGCCTCTGCTTCTCTTAGCTTTGAGACTTTCCTGGGTAGGCACGCTCATAGGCACCCAACATACACAATTATATGACCCTCGAGGTATGTACTGTACGTACTGTACGTACTGTAATTTTGCCACTTTCCCCGAGGGAGAAACTGGGCGCAGAGCAGAGAGGGGCTCACTCACAGTCGCTGCAGCAAGTGGGGGAGCAGAGGGAGGAAGCTGGTCAGCCTGGCTCCCGACTCCTGGTTGGGGGAGAGCAGGGTGGGCTTCAGAGCTGCAGAGACCTGGACTGGGATTTCATCTGGGCTACTTGCCATTGCTCTGTGCTGACAAGTAAGTGACTGACCCTCTCTGAGCCTTGGTTCCCACCTCCGTACAACATGCTGAGTAGCTCCCATGAGACACACCATGAAGGTGCTGGGCTCCTAACGGGGTTGCCAAGGCGTCCCTCTTCCCACAGGCCACCCACTCTCTGAAACTGCCCACCATGCCAGAGCTGTGGGTCCGTGGGGAGAGGGGATGGAGGTACTGCAGGAAAGAGCCGGAGAGAGGGGCTGAGTTCAAAGCTGGTGAGAGCAGCCAGCAGGGTTGTTTACCTTCAGCCTCGTCTACTCAGGCCCAGAGTGCAGAAGAGAAAAGGTCAGCTTCAGAGGTGGGGAGGGGAGTACGGGAAGGGGAGGGGAGCCGAGCTGAGCTGCCTTCCATCCGCAGGCCAGTGGGAGGAGCCCAGGAGCTGTAGCTTCTGGAATTGTCTCCTCGGTCTGCTTACCCTGGGGCTAATGCAACCGTTTCTTGGAAAGAGTTAAACATCCCCGGCCCCGCCCCCGAATCATTTCTGGAGCAAAAGAACTTTGTTTGGACAAGTTGGCAGGCTGGCTCTGTTTCTGAGCAGCTTGTCTTTTCAGTTGCTGGACGGACACTGCCTGCCTGTCTGTCTGCCTTCTGCTTGGCCAGGGGCCTTGGAGGGGAGAGGAGCCGTAGGACAGTCCTCCCCTTAGAGACCCCCTGGACTCTGCCCAGAGGGACTCTGCCCACATCAGTCTGGTCCGCATCTCGCTGTGAGAGCAGTGCCCGGTCCCAGACAAGGGGAGGGGGGGCCTCGTGCCCTGGCGGGGGGGGGGGAGTTGCCTTCCAGAGCATCTGCTGTGGGGGGTACAGAGGTGGCTAAACTCAGAATCCCGTAGTGTGTGAGGCAGAAACGCCAAAGAGACCCTTGGGATATGCCCCCTTTTGCAGGTGGGAAAACTCAGACCCAGATGGAAGATATGTCTCCACAGGGCATGGCCTTTGGGGCCAGCCCTAGAGCTGTCCCCAGCGCTCTGGGATGCCCTTGCCAGGCTCCCTCCTGCCTCAGAGGCTCCAGACCAAGGCCTAGAACCTCCCTAGAAAAATGGATTCCTTTGCTCCTGGGATATCACGGATTACCTGCCGTTGCTGCTGGCTGTCCTCAGCAGATTCCAAAGCCACCGCCTGCCCAGAGTGCTGGATTTTCATGGGCGCTGACTCCTATTTACCCGTGCGAAGAACTCCTCCCCTTGCTTGGGAAATGTTGGCAAGGACACCCAAGTGTTCTGTTTTCACCTGGGGTAACCAAATAATCATTTCTGGTAGCATGAATTCATCAGAGCTAGTGGAATCAGCCAGTTACAGGAACAGCCCCCAACTGGCTTCTTAGAACAAAACAAAAAGCAACTTTCCCCTTTCATTTTTGTCTTATGTTTGTGAAATAGTCATTGAGGAGCATGTGAAAACTGAGAAAATACACAGAAGGACATTGATAACGGTCCCCCAAATTTCATCCCCCAGCTAACAGCTCGTGATTTCTGTTACAAGTCACTTTCTTTGACATGTGTGTGTATGTGATGTGAAACTTCATACACACACTCAGATATATTTTTAAAAATGCAACACTCTTTATTTGCCTGTAGATGGATTTGGGTTTTAGGCACCCCTCCCCTATTCCCAGATTGAGGGTGTCAGTCTGAGGAGCTCGAGCATAGGGGAGCACAGGGGTTGGGGGCCTCTGGTCTCAGGCACCCTCCATCCTGGGCAGCTTTCTCTTCATCGGAGGGCCCTTCCACTCTTGATTCGCACTCAGAGATGTGGTGACCTTGAGGTCTCCTTGGGCTTTCTCCCAGGCCTTTCTTGGGCTCCTGAGAAAACCTTTTCCTTGATCCCTCATGGTCACGACCCTCCATCCATGACAAACTCCGACAGACGTAGGGTGCCACAGAGCATAGCTGGGAAACCACCAGGTTGTCGGTAAGGGTGTGGCTGTGGCCTGCCGGGAATGTCGCCAGCTGTGTGTGGCCTCAAGCAACTGGAAATCCCTCAGGCTTAACCTCCCTGTCTCTACAAAGCAGATAGTGACATTTTCCTGGCAGGGTGATGCAAAGGGTAAATGACATAACACGGATCATAAGCTTCCTTCTGATAGGACCGTTTGTGCTGTGCTGTGTCCTGGGGTACTTACCAAGTTCGTGCTGGCCAATAAGCACTGAGGTGACTAAGGAGAGTTCCGGTTCCATCCTTCCTAAAATGGTGGCTTAATGCCCTTTTAGTTTCCAAATATTTTCAGAATTGAATACATATTATAATCTTACACAGAATCCCAGGGTCTCCTGGGTGGCTCAGTCAGTGAAGTGTCTACCTTCAGCTCAGGTCATGATCCCAGGGTCCTGGGATTGAGTCCCACATCGGGCTCCCTGCTCAGTGAAGAGCCTCCTTCTCCCTCTGCCCCTCCCCCTGCCTATGTTCTCTCACTGTCATATAAATAAACAAGGTATTTTTTAAAAAATTACTCAGAATTCCTTGTATGCAAATAATGAATCATGGAACACTCCATCAAAAACTAATGATACACTATATGGTGACTAACATAACATAATAAAAAAAATTACACAGAATCCCACAGAAATAGTGGTTAAAACAAGGCTACAGTTTATTTCTCACTCACATCCGTTCAGGTGTGGACGTGGGTTGATTTGGCAGCTACACTTGGTCGGGGGCCCGGGCTCCTTCTCTTTTGTTGCTCTGACATTCCTGGAGTATGTTTGCTGGGTCCTCCCCCTCCTCCTTTCACTCTATCCTACCAATTACAGAGAAGCCCTTCCCCCAATGGAATTTTCTCTCTCTCTCTCTCTCTCTCTCCCTCTCCTTCTCTTTCTTATTCCCAAAGCCTCCCAATCCTGAACCCTCTACTTCTCCGTGAGACCTGAAATCATCATTCATTCCTTCAGGGCCATCAAGTGGCCCTATGGGTGGGGCCGGGTGGGGGTGCTTTGTCCGCAAGCAGAACATCTACTAGAACATCAGTGCCCGCCGTTCCTGGACTGACCGCCTCTTTGTATAGCCCCAGTCCTTCGTTTTGTTGAATAGATCTCTGTCCCTTTTGCATCTCAAGCATTGTCACCAAGCCTTGTGCTATGCCAGCCTCCCGAAAGAGGAATGTATGACTTGCCCAAGGACCCTTAGCTGTTAAATGGTGGAGCTGGTGGAGTTTGGGCAAAATCAACCCAATGTCAAATCCAGGCTCTCCCGACCTTCCCATGCTCAAAAAAAAGAAAAAAAAAAGAAAAGCGTTTCCATCCTTGAACTTATGACAGAAAATGCCAATCTTGGGAGTATAATTCTCTTAAGATTTTATGTATCTATTTTAGAGAAAGTGAGAGCAGGGAGGGATAGAGGGGGAGTGGGAGAGAAAAATAATCTGAAGCAGAATCCACACTGAGTATAGGGCCCAGCCCCATGGGACTTGATCCCACGACCTCGAGATCATGACCTGAGCCAAAACCAAGAGTCAGACACTTCACTGACTGAGCCACCCAGGTGCCCCTTGGGAATATAATTTTCTTTTAAAGATTTTATTTATTTATTTGAGAGAGAGAACAGTGAGAGACAGCATGAGGGGAGAAGGTCAGAGGGAGAAGCAGAGTCCCCATGGAGCTGGGAGCCCCATGTGGAACTTGATCCCAGGACTCCGGGACCATGACCCAAGCTGAAGGCAGTTGCCCAAGCAGCTGAGCCACCCAGGTACCCCGGGAATATAATTCTTGTACAGGTGTTGAGGACACTTTAAAAAAAAAAAAAAGATTTTATTTATTTATTTGACAGACAGAGATCACGAGTAGGCAGAGAGGCAGGCAGAGAAAGAGGGGGAAGCAGGTTTCCCACTGAGTAGAGAGCCCGATGCGGGGCTTGATCCCAGGACCCTGAGATCATGACCTGAGCCGAAGGCAGAGGCTTTAACCCACTGAGCCACCCAAGTGCCCCAGAGGACACTATTTTTATAAGGTGTGGCTTGTCCATAGGTCTGAGTAGGGAAGGCTGCCTCTTTAATGTGGATTGGGGTCCCAGCTGAATAAGGGCTGTCCTTGCCTGTCCCCATGTCCTACTTGGGACAACAGATGGGCATTTTTCTCGGACTTGAGATGGACCGAGGTAAGCAGACCAAAGGGAGCTGGAAAGTTCCACTTGGCTTTGGCGGGGTCAGGGCCAAGGTCTCCAGCAGCCTACTGCTGGGGCTCAGGGCACCTGGCAATGTAGAGAGAGACAGGCAGAGGCCAGAGGGGCACTGGCCTTTGGGGTCCGTTTGGGTATGTCTGTTGCACCTGCCTCAAAGGGGAAGATGGGAAAGTCAGACCACAGGGGCTCAGCCCCGGACCTGAGGCTGGCAGGTGCTCTGTCTGTGAGACAGTCACTCTTACTGTCTCCAGCCACATATGGCATCCATCAAGACTGGACTGACTTGGGTCTTGCAAATGTGACCATTGTGCTCTGTTGACCGTTTTCCATAGTTCTCACCTTCCCGTTGTTACCACTGATTTCCGAATGCCAGTTTGGCACAGGCAGGCTCCAGAAAGCCTTAGGAAAAGAGTTGGGCACCCCATTTGGGCTGCGGTTGCATGTGGAAAAGAGTGTACTTCTGGGGTGCAACCAGGGCAGGGGTGTGTGGCAGGAACCCGAGTAAGAGGGTGTCCCACCTCCACAGAACAGGAGAGGCTGGGAGGGACAAAGGCCAGATCCTTCCAGAGAGCTTCTTCCTGGAGGCTGGGGAGGCGGTGGTCATGGGAAGGGCCCCACTTAGCCAGGCTCCTCCCACGTCACAGCTCTGCCACCACCTACCAGCTGGGTGACTTTAGGCTCGTCCTTTCACCTCTCTGAAACTCCTTTGTCAATCATTGCTCCTTAAATAATTCTTAGGAAGCAGAAATGAGACCCTGATAACTGCCCAAGCCCCAGAGTGGGTCGTGCCTTCTCTCCTCCAGGCCAGTGAGTGGACTCAGCTCCTGGAAGGAAAAGTACAGAGGGCGGCCCGCTGCCTCTGACACTCAGTCCTCTCTCTGGCTGTGTTTGCGCTGACCTGGTTTCCTGTGGCTGGAGATGCTGGCTGCGGATCGGAGGCGTGTTTGCCAGCTCCCCTCAGCACCACCCTGACTGTGCCCCCATGAATTCCGGGTGCCCGTGGGAGGATCTGGCCGAGCAGGAGCAGGGACACTTCCCACCTCTGTTTTGCTTGCAGCTTGGTCATCTGTCCCTTTAAGGAGGAAGCAGCTTGCCATCATCTGCTCATCTGCTTTCATTTCCTGTTCTAGGCCGCATCTGGGAACTCCTGGTGAACGGGGACTTTGGGTTCGGAGCAGCCCTGTCCCCGACTTACCCCTGACACCCTGATGTACCCTGAGTTTTACATCTGAAGGAAACGGAGGCACAGAGAGATGGCACAGGTTCCAGGTGGCAGGAAGCCCACGCTCCTGCCCTCTCTGAGAGACGTGGTGTCCATCCTGGCTGGCCTAGGCCCAGCCCCACCGTGGTGGCCCACCAACCTCAGACCCAACAGCCCTGCTGAAGGCAGCTTTGTCCTCGCTCTGTGCCAGCCCATGGCCGGGTCCCCGCATTTGGTCTGGAAAACACGGCTGGTGGCCCGGCAGTGGGTGAGAGGTTTCTGACGTTAGGGTCGCGGGACGGGAGGGGGACCATAGGCTGCAGAGCTCTTGGTAAACCCAGGTATGGTTGAGGGGAAGCCCTTTTGAGCCCCCACTTCGTCCCACACCCCCTCTAGCAGTCTGGGCTGGCCTCAGACCCTCTCCCAGGCCGCAGGCCCTTTCCAGTCCCCCAGGCAGGAGGGTGTCCCATCAATCACCTCCCACATCTCACCTGGGGGGATGTGACTCTTTCCAAGCTCCAGAGATTTCTGGTAAGAAGAATGTGGACACCACTGTCTCCTTGGCGTCTTTCCTAAGTGATCTCTGAAAAGGATCACACCGTAAATCGAACCCCCTGCTGTTCCCTGCCCGCCCCCAACCTGCCTGTTCCTTCCTGCCTCCCAGTGAATGGTGCCTCTCTCTCTCCCAGACTGGGGGCTTTCCCCCCGCCCCTTCAGTGTGGGGCGGGGTCTCCCTCCTCCAGGTCCAGTTCTGAGGCCCCCCACTCCAGCCCCCTCCACTAGCACTGCTTCCCACAGCAGGGACCCTCAAGCTGTGTGCTCTCGTCCCCACCAGCACCCTC